CGCTATGGGTCGGAACCGACTCGACGGCACTTAACAACAACAACAACATATATATATATATATATATTTATGTTGTTAGGTGTCATTGAGTAGGTACTGACTCATAGCGACCCTATGCACAACAGTACGAAACACTGCCTGGTCCTGAGCCAGCCTCACGCTATGAGTCGGAACTGAATCCACGTCACAACAATGGCTAGTGATCGTGAACATTTCTTCATATGTTTGTTGGCTGCCTGGATCTCTTTCCTACACAGAAAATCATTTTTATTTGTATATCAAAGACTCTGAAAGAGCTCCGGTAGCGTAGTGGTTACGAATCTGGCTGTGAACCTTAAGGTCAGCAGTTTCAAACTACCAGCTGCTCCACGAGAGAAACATGAGGCTTTCTGCTCCTGTAAAGATTTACAGCCTTGGAAACCCTGTACAGGGTCACTGTGGGTTGGAACCCACTTGATGGCACTTAACAACAACAAATATGAGATCAAAGTGAATCAGTAAGTACACGGATTAGATGGGAACCTTCAGGGGCAGGGAGTTTATATTAATGAAGCAGGGACAATTTAGAAGAGGAGGGTGAGAATGATTGTACAACTTGAAGAATGTAGTCAATGTCAGTGAATTGCACATGTGGAAATGTCAAATTGGTGTGTATATTCTCACTACAACAGCAAAATAAAATTATGAGGGAAAAAAAATGTAGAGTTGCCACCTGAAAATCCAGGCTATCATTTTCTTTTATGAAGTGAGAGAATCAGGCCCCGCTGGTACAAATGCCTAGAGTCGGAGCTTTAAATGATGTACATGCTCCACCTCACTTCGTTCAGTGTGTGTCTGACTGTTTTAGACACTGGAGCTTGTAGTTTCCGGCCATTAAAGTTCAGGCCCCTTAGCATGACACACAAGACCATACCCTGGCTATGCCTCCCTTCTGTAGCCTCATATCCCATTACTGTCTCCTCCAGCTTTACACTCCAGTCTCTGCACACTGTGTATCGTTCTTGCACATACTAGCCTGCTACTCATCTGTACCTTTGCTCAGGCTGTGTCTTCTTCCTGGAAAGCCTCCATCACCACTCTCTTTACACACCTAACCCAGCTCATCCTTCATGGCCCTAGTCCTCTAAGAAGCCAGGGTTCCCATAACTCCATAATACCCCCTGCATAGCCACATCAGTGGTTTGTGTACATCTCCCTGCCCCACTTCCTTTGTGATCTTTGGGACAGTATGTTGAACCTTTTTATAGCCCCATTGCCAAACTCACACACTGGTACATAGTATGTGTTCAGTAAAGAGCTGTTGAATGAATGAATAACTTCTTTCCTGCCTAAGTGTAAGAACTCTGGAAAATGAATCTTGAAGAGTTTTCTCTGACTCCAAGGAATACAGCTTGTCTGTCTCCCTTGTTTGACTCCTATGATGCCTTATAACGTAGTTGTAATATTTGTCATCTTCCTAGTTAATCTGAAAGCTCCTGGAAGACAGAACTTCTGTGTTTTTATTTATTTATTTATCTCCTACAATGCTTAGCATTGCGTTTGGTACTTGGTGGTGGTGTACCATCAATTCGGTTCAGACTCCTAGGGATCCTGTACAGGGTTTCTGAGGCTTTAAATCTTGATGGGAGCAGAAAGCTTCATCTTTCTTCTGTGGAGTGGCTGGTAGATTTGAACTGATAACCTTGCAGTTTGAAGCCCAACTTGTAACCCACTATGCTACCAGGGATCCTGTGGTACTTAGTTATTGCTTTTGTTAAGTGCTGTTGGGTCGACTTTGATTCATAGAGACCCTGTATAAGGTTTCTGAGGAGTGGCTGGTGAATTTGAATTGCCGACCTTGTGGTTCAAACCCAGTGCTTAGCCTCCAGTGCCCCATGTTGGTAGTTCCTGGAAAATTTTTGTGGATGATGATGTCATGGAAGTCTGGAGGTGGGCCAGCTAATAGAAGGGGTGCTGTTGGAAAAACTATACTCCCAGTGACCCTTTCTATGCACTTGTCTTGCTGCCCGGCTGCCCTGGGACGCTCTTGCTTTTCTTTCAGCCTGTGTGGCTGTCTGTGGACTTTGATAACTGGAGAGACTGGGAAGGGGATGAAGAGATGGAACTGGCACAGGTGGAACATTACGCAGAGGTAAGAGCGAGACGGCACCTGCTGCTTCTGGTCTTGCTTGTTCTCTTCCTTTCTGGACACTTTTTTGTGGGCAGAGATACACAAGTTCCCCAGGCAGGCTACTCACTGGTGCTGATATTTTGTACATTTGCATATTTTGTGCAATGTTCATTTAGTAAGGGTGAGGGAAATGACTCTTTTGTTTATAAAATTGTATCAACAGATGTACTTACTATTCACAGAAGAGAGCCTGTATTCTAAAAAAAAGTTTGGAAAAAGCTTCCCCCTCTTTTCTGTGGCTCATGTTCTCACTTCTGTTCACTTTGTGCTAACTTTGTCCCCGGAACCAGACAGTTGTGTGGGATGGTTAAAGTAAGCTTTATAAAATGTGACGTCATAAAGTAAATCACTTGTTGTTGTTAAGTACTGTGGAGTCAGTTCCGACTCATAGTGATCCTGCACAGGGTTTCCAAGGCTGTAAATCTTTACAGGAGCAGAAAACCTTTTTCTCCCGCAGAACAGCTGGTAGTTTTGAACTGCCGACCTTGAGGTTAGCAGCCCAATTCGTGGAAATAGCACCTTGCCATATGTTATTTAGTTTCATGATTTCAGCTATTATTTATTCAATAGACACCAATCTGCATGCATAAGGAGTATACTTTTTATGTATATATGATGTTGTTAAGTGCTGTCGAGTCGATTCCGACCCATAGTGACCTTGTATAGGGTTTCCGAGGAGTGGCTGGTGAGCTTGAACCATCACATATACACATATATCTAAATCTCCTTTTAAGAAGAGGATCAGTTCACTTTTCTCCAATTAGTTCCAATGATCTCTTGAGATTTTGAGGAAGAGGGCAGCTGTCTGGGCAGCTCTGCTTGGACAAGTTCTCCTGTGGCCATCAGTGTGCAGGTCTTTTTTCCCTCACCACTCTTTCCTCTTATGACTGCTTTTCTCTTCCCATCAGCTTTTGAAGAAGGTCAGCAACAAGGGCCCTCCCCCTGCCATGGATGACCTGGATGTAAGTGAAGCCTGCCCTTTGATGCTTCAGCTTCCTTTTAGTCCTTAAAATACAAGTGCTATGCCAGTCCTTGGCACACAGGAACTTTCAGTGCGTGTTAGCCGGATCTGAATTGGACACAGGAGGTCGCATGTTCTTCTCCAGGCTTTTGACAACCCAACAAGAACCTCCTTTCTACCTCCCCTCTGCTCCTCCACCCTGCAGCAGACCATTCCCTACTGAGTATCTTTACAACTCCAAGGAGCAGCAGCATTCATCAAAATTTGGAAACGAAACAAGGCATGATATATATGGTGCTATGTATTGAGCACCAGTGGTTTGTTTTAGTTCAAAAGTTAAGTCCTTCTGGATTATCCTTGTAAGAAATTTCATGGTTTAGAAAATCACAAGAAAACTTTGAGAGCAGAAGTGAGTGGGCAGCATTTATGGACACATATGTTTGCTGTAGAGTTATACCTTTGTTTTCTTCTCTTCCATCCGACCCCCACCACCAGGATGAGTCTGACAGCGCCGATGCAGCAGGTAATAAATGCTCTATGATGGCACTGGGGAAGAAGCTATGATTCTTCCAGAATTTGGAAGAGGCAGGGCCCGAGCTTTTGTCAGCTCTTTGACTGTCCACAGGGTCCTCTGGGATCTCTGACCTTTCTAGAAGCTCTCGAGTCCTGGTGTGACACTGTAGGATAAGAACTGGACTGTTAACCACCATGGTGGAAGTGCAAACCCACAAGCTGCTTCTCACAAGCCCTCTATAGGGTTGATATGAGTCAGAATTGATTTCACGACACTTAACAACAACAACATTGTGCTTTATTTCTCCCTCCTAGGCACTTGACTATGGCTGCTGCATCAGATGGCAGGACAGAGATGGAATATACTGGTGGGACTTCAGACTTCCCTATGATTGGCTCCTAATCTCTGTGTTTGGGCCACTCTTCAGCACTCTCTTGATTATTTAAGTATGTCTGTGTATGTGGCAGAGTAAAAGCCCAAGGAGGAGCATATGGATTATAATAAATCTCTAGGCACTGTTCTCTCATCCCTTCTTTTTTTTTTTTATTAAATGTTTTTATTTTGGATTGAGTGAAAGTTTACAGGGCACATCATCAGCTTCACATTCAACCATTCATATGTTGTTGTTGTTAAGTGCCATCGAGTCGGTTCCGACCCATAGCGACCCTGTATAGGGTTTCCAAGG